AAAAGCCCATTTAGAGCCTCTGCAAATATGTGTTAAAGACTTTAAACTACACACTGGCGCAATATATTGCAAGTGAGAATGTAGCCCAGTATTTAAGACTTCTGAGACTGTTCTTTTTCCCCTTTGGTGGATCACTGGGATCAAGAAGATCTAATTGTTTCTGTTCGGAACTTCCAAAGCTACCGGTTTGCTTGAAGCTTAGTGCCAAGCTTCTCCTTGAAGAAGGCATTAAGTTTGACTCTCAAGCCTCAATCTAGTGAACATTTTTGGTACTTGACAGAATCGAGTCCTCTGGGAACTCCAAGCACTTATGAAGTTGTAATAAAACATGTGTCTTCAGGCATTGGTAAAGGGTTTTTTGCTTCCTAAGGAAAAATAAGCAATCAAACAAATAAGTAGGCATAATACCTCTCATCAGTTTATCATCAGTCTGCTACCCTCAGAGAACAAAGGCAGCTCTGCCTACCTGCTCTGATCAGGGGGAAGCATTTGATTGACATATGTTCTGCTTCTCCTTCATGTTGTATTTTGCCTATTGGATTTCCTTGACTGACATCCCTGATAGTCATAAAAACCTGACTTTTATTTAAAAAAAAAAGAAAAAAAGAAAAAAAGAAAACCAAACCTCTCTGTCCTAAAGAAAGAAAAGGTCAGAGACTTTTGCATCATATGATTATTTCATTTTTTAGATCTTTATATAATAGCAGGTATTTGTTCCATAATTAATGAGAGACTTGAAAGAGTAGTTTTCAACATAGAGTAGTATGTCATCTCCACCAGGTATTTTTCTGTCTGTCTTTCATTTCAAAACTCACTTCCCTGCCTGAGGTCTGGATAAATGAACATTGTTTATTAAATCTTATTATTTTACAGCAAGGTAAATGATAGCCACGTCTAGCATCTGGTAGCAGCTGTAATGCTACCATCAATAGAGTACCATATCAGCAGTTTCCCATCTATTGGTGCTTAACTAGTGTAATTACAGGTCCCAACATGTCAAAGTATGTGGTAGATGCTTATTTTTTAACACGTGGGCTGTCTTTCAAACGCATGCTGGATTTGGACCTCTGCTTCTTAAATATTATTGGAGTTATCAGAAAACATTCTGCAAATTCCCACTACTACTTACAGCTCTTTTAAAAACTGGCATTAAATCTCCTTTATTTCAATCTTTTAAAAACTCTTTCTCCAGAAATCTATGTAATGGAATTTATTAACTTCTTGTGGTACTCATATGAAAATGCAAGAAAATAGAGACTCTAGGTCAAATTCAGTGCTCATGTGCTTTTTTTATTATTATTATTATTTGCCTTTTTTTTAATAGCTTGGCATCACTGTTGTTTGTATTCTTTCTTTTTATTTGACTTTAATCTGAAAGGTTATTTCATCATTTCATTAGGTTCTATCACAAGCGAATCGCATTGTATTCCAGACCAGCAGCTTTTATTACAGAAGGGGAAGCTTCTGAACTGTTGATCAAGAAATACACAAGAGAATGGCTGCACCTTCTGATGTGCTTGTTCCGTATTCTGTAGACTGAATAAAAAAATGCGGGGATGAATAGTGACACCTAAGTCAACCCTCTGATTGTCATTAGAGCCATTTATTTACTCTCATTAGAAGCACTCCTGAAATGTTTTTAAATTAATTTGAGTGAATTATAGATGAATGGAATACTTTTGTGATCATACCAATTTATCACTAATTTACTAATCACCAAATGTAAGTAATAACTCATATTATGAATATCAAGTGCAGCTAGTACTAAAAAGTACCCATGTTCCATAATAAATTCTAAGTCTCATTGCCATCTCTGCTAGGCTTCATCAAATCATATACTTGATTTCTTTGGGTGGAATGACAGCCTTTCTGATTACCTATTGTGCTGAAACCTTAAATAAACCATCATTTGCTCCTTTTCCTCTACTGACCATTGTACAGAGACAGTCATTTAAGTGAGAAGGTGGCTAATTTAATCAAACTGAAAAAAGGAATGATTATGTTCTGGAAATATTTTCTCGTGGAACTCTGCTGTAAGATATCATTAAGGTCAAGGGTCTATAAGGCTTAAAAACTGATGGAATGCAAACTCTCTGAGTTACATTGGGGTTAAAAGAATATAAACCTTCATGCCTCAAGGCAGATGTCAATTTTTAACTCATGCACATTGGGAAGAAATTTCCCTCTAGCCACTTGATTTCAGAGTTACCAACATCTGTATTCTTTCACCTTTCTAAAAAACAACTGCCTCATCATAGTGAGATTCTGGAGCAGCTGTGTCAGTGACTGAAAGCAATATAGCAAGTCTGATGCTTACCTGTAGCCTCCATTTCAAACACTGAATATTTGAAGAATTTCATGAACTAGTGTTTTTCAAGGAGACTGTTTTCAATATACGCGCTATATATATGGCATGTATGCCCTCCAAAAGGCTCTATAAATAAATCTGTGAAAGCAAACAGCATGGTTCCATTACTTCTTTTTTTGTCTCAAGTCTTTAAGACTGGACCATCAATTCTGTTGTAATATTTGCTCTTTGGACATTAGCAGTCGTCCTCTTTCAGAGAATCATTCTATTCCTTTCAAACACTTTACAATCAATCTAGCTCAAATGATGGCAAATACTCACTGGTGTTCTGTGGAAAGTTCCCATTCATCTCCAGCTCCTTTCTGTGATCGGTTCTGGTCTGATCTTAGATGCTTTAAGGCCTTTTTGGTGAGATTTCTAATTTCTATGAACCAGGCTCTAGTTTTCACTAAAACACACTGATAGTGCATCTTGGGTTACCCTGTGCATTTATGCAAATTATTATATCATACATTATATCTCTATGTAGTCTCTGTTAAACTAGCAAGGAGCATCTGTGTAGAGCCTGTAATCAGTCCTGATCCCTAACATGGGCATGGAAAAACCTCTGGTGTGTCTTGATGGAAGATGAAAGAGTCTATCTGATCAGATAGTGAGTCTTCTGGTTTTTGCTCAGGTGCAGAGATCAACTCTTGAAGAAGGAGGAGGTGTCGTATTAAGTATATAGTGAAAAGGTGACTATCCTGAAGCAGCAGAAGTTGTTGCCTGAGAAGATAGTTTTGTGCTGAATCCAGAGCAGGTGTCAATAGACTGCTTAGCTGAGCTTTTGGATGTGAATGCATTTAATACTGATGAGCCAGGGTCTCCTGTGAATTCAGTGTTGTCTGTTAGGGTTACAGTGAGAGGCAGTGGTATGTTGCAAAATACAATGTGAGCTGAAGACAGAGTATTTCTAATGGTTAAGATAAACCAAATTTCAGTTTTCTGTAATGGAAAATTACCTCGAAAAAAACAGCTTCTTGACAGAGTGACAGTACAGCTGTCCTATTTAAAGCAGAACATGACAGGTTTTGTGACTTGAACTTGTATGAGATCATTGTCCTCTCATTGTCCCTTCCAGCTAGACTGGGGAGGTCTTAGCTGATGCACAAGAAAGGCAGAGGCTCTTTCTAGAGAGCAGAATCCTGAGCCGACAGTAGGTCCTTCGTGGAGACCTGTACAAGTCTGCCTGAGAGGAAGCACTGATGGGGATACTGGAGGGAGGGTTGGTGCTGGGATCAGTGAAACAGGGCTGCTTGAAAAAAGCAACTTACCCTTTACAAAAGACTTTCCTAGATTAAAAATCCAGCCAGCAGTCTGCAGTACTCCTGTCCTGGAAAGGGTAGCAAAAGAATGGCAACACAGCTCATTTGGGTTGAACAAGAAGCTTTGTCTGAAGGATATGAGGTTGTTGGTCAGGCATCTAAGCAGAGCTGTGGTGATCCAGTGGCTACTGTTTCTGCATGGGCTCTTTTCCCACACTTCCTAATTGTGATTTCTTCTTCCTCTTGGTTTGATCATTGCATTGCTTTTATTTCTTTCTTCCCTTTTTGTTATTTGCTCTTGAACAAGGTCAAAGCTTTAAAGGTTACAAAAACACTCATAGAGGGTGTTCAGAAGGATTTCATGTCATGATATTTCCTCGAGTTACCTAATAAAGTACAAAAAAAGGGTACTAGCACTTCCTTGTGTAGGTTGACAGCCAGCCAGTTCCTCTGGGAGCAGCGTGTCCCTCCCTTACACTACTGTATTGTTGTCCAATGACAACATAAAATCCTAAAGGTTCTCAAAATTAACTAGAAGTTTTAAGAATACGGGAGTTATCTAGAGAAATCCCAGCTAGCCTAAAAAATAAATAACTGAAAGTCTCAGCTGTCTTGCTATGCATCATTTAATGAGCAGCATCTGTATACATATTTTAAATACTTGCATACCATCAATAGGATGTAGCCAAAACAGATGATTGCAGACAGTGTACTGAGACTTTAATCATATCTCCTCTAAATGTAGCAGGGAGTTGTCTGACTCAGCCTCTATATACCATTTGAAAATGCAAGCTCCAGTCTTGGGGATACAACCATAAATGAATATACTTTATTCTTTTGAGCTTCTGACTATCGTGTTAATAGTTAAAGGGGGCTTAAAGGATTATCCAAATCTACAAACATCCAAAGGGGAAGCATATTAAATAATATATGAAATATCAAGTGCAGTGAAATGGCGCTTTTAAACAATTTTTAGTCAGACATAAATAAGCTAGATGTTCCCTATTACTTGAACAACATCTACGTTCAAAAAATCAACCTGATTCTTTGTGTAGAAACGTAGATCTCTCTGTCTACAGTGTACTGTATGGTGAAGTACTGCTTTCTGTCTCAGACATTGTTAGTTTTTGTTTTGAGCATCAGCTAAAGTGTTCAAGCCAGCTTTGCAATGTTTATCTAAATGTTTCTGCAATTTTCTTTATTTCAGTGAAATTCGTAATACAAGTATTGATACCACTTGAAACTCACTTGGTGTCAATTTATAAATGAATATAACCTCTGCATCTCAGAATTAGATGTTAGTTCCTGATGTTCCTACCATGAGGGATGTGCAAATTACATCAGGGTGTGTTCTGACATTGCTAATAAAATGTTCTGGTTTTCTGTAGGAAATGCCATTAGGCCCATCGCCCTCCGTGCAGTGTCTGCCATAGCCCGTGCTCTCCCAGGATTTCCCATCTTAGCAACTGGAGGCATCGATTCTGCTGAAAGTGGGCTCCAGTTTCTGCACAGTGGGGCTTCTGTTTTACAGGTATCTTTTCTTTCTTGAAAACATTAAAATTGAAATAACTGTAATTAAACCCGTAATGGATCTTCCTTTCAAACACTAGGATAGTGGGAGTTTTGTATTGCTGAAAGGAATTTTCCTGTTTTTAGCTTCATGCTGCTTGCTAAGAGATATTAATTTCAGATGGGGGAGGAGGAGGAGTTGCCAAAAGAAGACAACTTTAGTGTCACAATAGCAATCTGGGAAAAGGCTAGTCATGAGTATGTTATCACTTTTTCTCTCTGACCTACGGGATTTAAACTTGAAACATCTCTCCCTTGTCATACAAACAAGATTGACACAGAGCTACCTGATCAGGTAGCTTGAGCTACCTGATCTTACTTTATTCGTGGTTTTTGTCTTCTGCAAAGAGCCTTTCAAGGGGAGAGGGCTTTGAAAGAGCACTACTTTGGTCCCTTTGGCAGTTAAACTCTTGTTTTTCGAGGCATCTGTGTCCCTTAAGCATGGTTATTAGAACAGGAGGTGCAGAACTGTACCTCCTGCATCTGGTGCTGGCATTGCAGCCCTTTGCATTGGAGTGAGGTGTCGGGCTGCATGCAGTAGTCAAGGCTGTTTAGGTTGCCTCATGGGTTGTTCTGAGGTCCTGGCCAGACTGGCATGGTTAGGTAGTCCCTGTAATGGAAGGATGCCTTCGTGGCCAGTTATTATGGGTACCAGGAGATAAGCTGGAAATCAGCCCCTTACCTGCATGTCAAGGCACCATTGCAGCATACATGTTAGAATGGCTGATAAGGAGCAAGCGGTGGTTATGTTGTATTATTCCATGATGTATTGTTACATTCTGGTAGATATTCATCCCCTTTTTCCGTAGTCCCATCATAGACAGTGGCAGCTATGGATCCGGTGGATATCGGCTTTGTGTCACTCCATGAGATGACTGGATTAGTTTCATTCCCACAATTCACTTTGACATTAAAATTAGATTCAGTGTGACCATCTTTTCTGCACAGCTATGTTGACTGCTGAGATTAGTCATTTGTTGCTGCGTTTCAGAAAAAAAAAAAAAGTCAACTTAATGCTTTGGTTTGGTTAGGTTTTTTAATGCTTTTTTGTAGACTTTCTATATTCTTTGGATTCATTAATATCATTTCCTATTTTTTTTAGCTTGTATTAGAATACTTCAAACTCTTCTTTTCCCATGAACAGACAAAAGATCTACCTTTGTTACACAATGGTCTGAGAGCTTCTTCCGTATAAATACTAAGTAGCGGTACAAATTACAGAGCAGCATTTGTCTACGGTAACTAGGATTGGCAAGAGAATGTTTTGTGGTACTATAGATGCGTTTCATTTGTTATTACTAATAGAGCTGCCATTTTGATGGTTTTGTCTGTAACAATGTTACGTGATCTGAACTACACAGAGTGGAATGATTTTCTGTTCTGTTCTGTGTCTCCTGTATCTGTTTCTGGATGACTAAAAATGTACTTTCCTTTATATAGGCTGTGTAGCTGTTCATTTTTTATCATTTCTTTTCTTTTTTGTTGGTTTGCCCCAGTAGTAATGGGAAATTCTGAAATATAATTTAATGCAGACATCCCAGTCAGTGCTCAAGAGAAAGAATATTGGATTTACAAAACATTAATTATTGTTTTATTTTTAGTAATAATCAACTTCTCTGGAATTGGCTTCCAGAAATTACTTGGATCTATATTGGTCTTCTGCCGTTTACAGAACAGTTTCTCTTTCAAAAGATTTTTCCCAGAGATGGTGAAAAGAACTCTTTTCTTGTCCTTAGGCTTCACCAGTTTAACTTAAATCATCTCTAGAAGTGATTTTAAACTCCTCTGGATCAAACCTATCCTCAGTTTGAGTGGCTTATTTCTGTTTCACTAAAGTAGGGAAGTCATTTAAACTAATCTGAGATAAATGGATTCTAAAGTTACTGTGTAGGTAAGGTTCTGAACTGGTTCAATTACATTTATTTAAAAATAAGCCTTTAGTAAACTTCATGCAAGATTCTAAGTACAGGCCATGAATCTTTTCATCATCTTGAGAGAGGCAAACAGAAGGGAGAAGGAAATGAGTAATCTCTAGAGACACTTTTACAAGAAATACACTTGGTCGGGACTAGACTGAAACTTTTATTTGCTGAGACAAGATACATTGTGATAGACAGAAGAAGACAGCCTCATCTGCATAGGTTGTCTTTAGAACCTAATTAGGAGTATGAGAGTCATTGCAGTTCTTTTCCTTCTTAACAAGGTCATATGAATAGCTGGCTAATACGCTTTTCCCTGGATCCCAATCTCTCTCCCATGTCCTTGGTATCAAATGCCCAAGTTGTTCCTTCTTCAACAGTCAAAAACTCTGTTGCTTAATGTAAAAGCTTTGACAGTTCACTTCTGCTTTCTCAGTATCAAAATATGGAGCAAGTACTGAATGTGGAGATCACATCAAATAAAGTAGTGATCTACTGAATGATTCAGTATATTAAGATTCACTACATAGCAAGTCCCTGAGTTAAGTAGGTAGTAGCTGGGAGTGTACTGGGGGACTTATATATGTGTCCCTTCGCCTTATCTTAAGTATCTGCATTGGACACTGTTGGAGATGATGCTGAATAGACACTTGGACTGAAACAATACTGCACATTTTGTGATCTTACTTCACGTTTCCAGAACCACGAGGACACCTTATGACTGATCCAGAGGCACAAAGCAAGCAACATGGACTTCTGTGGTACCGGAGTGAGCTCTGTGCTCAGCTCTGTGGAATGAGCAGTGATCTTAAAACCTGGGAGTGGGAATTGCCACTGCTATCACCGCCCTGTTACACAAATAGCATTTGGGTGTTTCCTCATTAGCAATATTTTAAAAGAGTAGGGAATGTCAGTTCATCCAGCATTAAACACAGTCTGATACCACTAAGCAGCACAGATTGTATTAATCCACCCACAGAGCCCAGCTAGAGAGTCTGGGAGAGCAGCATTTGCGTGGCCATTGGGCTTCCCTTTGTTTTGCCCAGACAAGAGTCTTGTGTCTTCTCTGCCATGGGATGTTCATGGACTAAGATAATACAAAGGCTTTATGTGAGTTGATTTAATTGCAATGTGGCATATCTCTTAGAGAAGAGGTTTATGAATAATAAATGTACCTCCATTAAAAGCAAGATCAGGTTTTCCTCTGCAGCTATTTTACCTACAATCAGTTCTCCATTATTTTTTCCAATTGCTTTTATTTTTAAAATGTGGGGATTTATTTTCCATTTACAAAATCATCATACACAGGAATGCAAGTCAGGAGTCAGGTGGTAAGCCATTTTTTAATATATGCTGTAACCACCTCAAGTGGTATTAAGCAAGTATATTAGGGAATGGTTTGGGGAGTGAGTTTCAGTATTCAAAGTGTGTTCCGTTCCCTCCTTTTGAAGATGGAGGGCAACATCTTAGTGTCACTACAGGCAAAAAGTTCATGTGTAACAAAGTTTTGCAGCAGGTATAGAAAACAAACTGGATCGCTGTAGTCAGTAGTAGCTGGACTTCCGAAACAGTTGCAAAGAGACCCCACTTGGTTTTTAATTTTTCATTAAAAGTGCTGTAACATTTCAATCATTTTTCAGCTGATTTCATAGCACTAAACTTTTTGGTAACATGACCAAATCCACCAATCCCTTTTCAGTATAGGCATGAAAAAAAAAAAAAGAACTTTATTTATGGAGCTAATCCTGCACCCATTGCATACGAAAAGCTCTATAAATGTATAGTTGCATCTTTCTGAGGTACAGTTCATTATTATAGGCTTCCAGTGAGGCTGAAGTTTGGGTTTTTTTTATTTCAGTAAGCTCTTTTTAAAGCCCCAATTTATCAAAATAAGAGGTATATTGGATTTTTTGCATCTTTTGCATCATGTATGTGATTTACCATGTCACATTGACGGTTTGTTAGATTTCTGCAAGGCTTTGAAAGAGACGTACATTTTTCAAAGTCATCTCACTGTAGGAAATTAAAAATGGAGACAATTATAGAGAATTCCAGTAGAAAGAGAAAACGCATTATGGAAAAAGCAATAAAAGCGTAAAAAATATTAAAGTAAAAATCACTTCACAGCAGCCTATATGATTCAATTGTAGATCAATATTGTGTAGTTAATGCATTAGCAGTAGAGCATTAATTTGCAATTACCGCAGGTGATCTGATCCTCTGTGTTCTGTCCATTGACATAAATGACCTTTTGTTGAAAGAGATTCTGTAGTCATTATTTCTAGCAGATGTAACAAAAAAAAAAAAAGGTAGAACAAAGGATGCTTTCTGAAGTATACTTGTTTCATGGTAGAGTCTCTTAATGTTATATTCTGGTATGGAATACTTTTGTTAATCTTGAATATTGGTCATTAATGTGTAAAGAATATGGGTTCCTTTTCAAGCTGATTTATTTCCTTACAAAGTATGGAGGTCACACATGTCCCCCGTTGCTCCAGCATGAATGTCTGTAAGGCTCTCTACATAGCAACGATTTAAAATCCATCCATATAATGCTGCTTCCCAGCAGGGCAGCCTGTCGCTTTGCCCCAAACCCTGTTTCAGACCCACCTCCACTCATCTCTGTCTCCCACTGGATGGGATGTAGTACCCTGCAATCCTTTTCCTATGGGCACTGTGCTCTTGTCCTCACCGTGTTGTGTTCAGCCCATGCACACCTGCTGCCTCTGGATCTTGCACCATGCCCCTCCTCATCTCTCAGGCAAGGGAATAAGGTGGGAATGTACCCCACCACAGAGGCAGAGCTGCCACGATGCTGGATCTGCTCCGTGCCCTTCTCTCCTGCCCCCCACCAGTTGTGTATGAGACCTCAGGGATCTGAGGAAGTACAAAACAATTCTGGAAGTATGATAGCCCGTGACAGGAAAGCAGTAGCGATGTATTTTGCCTCAGCAAGATAAAATATCCGTCCAACACAGAACGCGGTTGTTTTTATGAGACTACTTGTGGATTTTGTAATGTTTTTAAGGAGCATTCTTGTTGG